TGAGCGAGAGAGGGAGAGAGGGAGAGACAGAGAGAAAGAGAGAGAGAGAGAGAAAAAGAGCGAGCGAGAGAGACAGAGAACGAAAGAATAACGATCCTGCGTGTACCTTAGCCTATTAAGCCGTCGGATGCGCTCGTTGAACGTGTCTCGAACGGTGCACGATACAGCTCGCGTTATCTGCAGTAAATATTGCGGGGCTAGGCACGGGTCTCTCCCGGCCCGCTCGGATCGTTTCTAATCATTATCGTATACGTTCGCGACCCGCGCGCGTGTCGTCGTGCCCGACGTCGTGGTTGTCGCGGTCGTCGTCGACTCGGTGATCGTCGTCGTGGTCGGTGGTGGCCGCCGTCGACGTCGTCGTCCGTTGTTGTCATCTAAGGTGGATCGATAGATCGATTCCTCGTTCAGCTCTCGATACTCCTCGTCTTTCTTCCACCAGTCGCGATTCTCGATGTGCCGCGTTAGAGTCGCGAGAGAAGATTGAAGGTGGCGGCCGACGGACCCGCACAGTGACGGTACAACAGTGCAGAAAGTTTCGTGCAGTGAACGGTCGTTAATAGACCAGTGCCGCGGCTCCGACGACAGAGACCGACGCTCGCGCGGTGACGAGAGAGTGCGGCGCGCCAGCGCGCGCGCGAGAGACCAGCCGAGTCGGACGGAGTCGGACCACGAGCGAATCCGCGGGGAGCGAGGGAGATAGAAATAGAAAAGAGGAGCGAGGAAACGCGAAAGGTAGAACGGAGACGGCCGGACACGCTATATGCGTTGAAGCACCAAGTGCCCAGGGACGAGAAAGCGAAATAGGAGATATCGCCGGGTGCGAGGGAGAACGGACCAGCCGAGGGATAGAGACCGACCGAGCGTGTTAGACCCCCAGTGGGAGTGAGATAGACCGAGAATATACGAACCAGTGAGAGAGAAAGAGGCGAGACGAAGCTGCGCGAGATAGGACCGAAAGCTGCCGAGATGCATTGCCACGCTGTTCTCCTCTTGTCGATCTTGCTCGTCGTCGTCTCTTGCCCTTCGACGTTGCGTGCACGAAGGGTCGCGCCCTTGATCGAAGAAGATTGGGCGAGAAGGCCTCACCGCGCCGCCGGTAAGTCGCCATTGTTTCCACTCTGTATTCCTCTTGTACTCCCTGCGCCCGCAACGCACACGCGGCCCGATACAACAACTGCGGGACCGATCGTGCGGTCGATCCCCGGTGCGAACCACGACGTTGTTCATGCGGTAGAGATTCATCGTCGACGCTCTCTCGGCGTGCATGCCGGCGCTCAGTGGCCCGGATCGAAGAATCCGGTGACATTCTGACGGCAGCAGCTCTGGTACCATGCGACCACCAATGGAATTTTCATTCAAACATATATATTCGGGAATCGATTACCGATCGACGATTTTCGAATTTCCTTCGATAGTTTTTCAAACGTTGAACTTTTTAATGAATAATATTATTTTGATCGTTTAAAATTCCATTGCTGGATTCGACATTGTTGCAGGGGATTTAAATCGCCGTAATTCGTTTCCGGTCTTTAATACGTTCGCATTATTTCGATGACGGTCTTCTCAATCATAATATTTTCTTCAATCCAATAAATTTTCTAAACAAAATATTATAAGAATGAGACCGAAACGAGTCATTGAGTTCCTAAATATAATGTAGTAATTTCTAATAACAATATTCATAGGATTAATTTCATTTTCATTATGTAAAATACAGGATAACGGCCGTCACAAATATGTGACGCTGTTAGCGAACGAAAGTTGAGTCGAATAAGGTTATTGAAAATAACGAATTTTCATATTTAAATCTCATTGGGCAAGGAAAATATTTCTTCCTCGAGGTATAATGATTCCTTCGGAATTCAATTTTGTATGTTCCCAAGAATGATCGATTTCTTCGTTTTCGATGTAGACGGATACGTTCGCGAAGTAAAGTCGGTTCGTTTGAACGGCGGTTGAAGAAAGTGGATTTTTCGTCGAAATGTCAACTAAATTGTTCGATCCGTGTCGCGGCGCGGCGGCCCGGACCAGCTTCCCCGTTGCGATTTCGTCAGAATCCGAGCAGTTTCTTTTCCTTTAAAGGTTAGAGAACGCTCGAAAATACCGGGGCCGTGGCGGTGCGCCGCTTTTACGTAACGAGAGGTGCCGTCGCGAAAAAGGCGGGAATCGAACGACCGATTGTGCCGTCTGGCTTTGAATCGGTGTCGTGTAACGCCGGCGGACGCGGTTCCCGGCTGTACGCTTCTTCAGCACGGCGAACGCCGGGAATTTCTCAGCGAGCGTCCGCGCGTGCGCGGTCCGTCGCGCAATTTAACCGTTTCTGGAGATCGGATTAGAAAATATTTCCGACGATCGGAATTAATAATGAATTAATACCGCTGACGCCGGCATGCAAATCACGTAACGCCGTATTACGGGAGAAAAGTTTCTAAAAATTATTTATTACGGGGGAAGAATTTTTGGAGAATTATTACGGGAAGTTGTTTAACCTAAAAACCGTTGAGCGATGGTAATAGCGTCGACGATCCTGCCGCCATGATTACATCGATTTTCTGCACGACCTAAGCGATTGATTTAAGGAAGAAAACATTTTGTAATGTCAATTTATGGACCGTGGTATTTAGGAAATTTCGTCGAATCCTGTTTCCATCCACGGATTTAGCAGTTTGATGATATATTTCTACATAATTTTGTAATATACAATATTTTTAATGTGCGTCGATAAGAAGAAACTAATTTGTCGATATGGTCGGTATATATTCGGGCCTCGAAAATTTTCGAGAAGCCCAAGAAAAGAGCAATCGTCACGAGGCAGGAAGTAATGTACCGGTTCTTAAACACCTCGCGCTGACCCAGATGTTGGAACAAGCTAATTGATGCGCATTGTATTCGCGTTTCTGCGTTGAGCGTACCACGGTACACGCTTCGAGTATCAACGTCTTAAATTCTATTTTCACGATGTCTTTGTATTATTTATGATTCTCGTATTTTTATCAGAATATTATCGAACCATAAATAAGTACAGTATTGCCTTAACCATGTCTTCATTTAACAGGACCATTAGTGGGCCAATCAAATCGGATAATCGTTTGTTCTATTACATTTTTCTTCCCGTTTCTAATTCCAATCGCGTTAATGTGTTTGAAATGATTTCCTTGGTTGTACATATCAAGCGATTCAAATCGCTCCGCGTAATTTATTCCGCGGACTTAATCCCGTGCAAAACACACAGTTGTCCAACGTTGAACAATTTAAGCAAAAATGTTTCGAGAGGAAATGCGGTTACATAGCCGAGGATTAATTACAGTTACTTCTAGATTACGTAGCGTAATACTCACCTTTAATAACGATCGAGTTACCCAGGCGAATGAAGGTATCGTATTCGAGCCTGTCTAGTTATCGATTTAAATGGTCGAACGCCGAAAGAAAGCGCGCGCGCGCGCGTTAGTGCCGCCGAAATTCGCGGGGTTTCCCGGGGGGAGAAATTCGCCGAGTTGTGGCAACGGTTAATTGAATTTAGGAAGAAACTGGTTTTCCCCGATCGCTCCCGTCACGCCGGTCTGCCGTAAAAATTCGATCGCGCACGCGCGTTACGAACAACTCGCTCACGCGGCGAACTAAACCTGCGCTGCACTCCGATTTTTATCGTCGCGACATTTATGCCAGCTTTATCGCGTGCGCCTCATTAACTTTAACCAGTTTTGTTATTGTCAACTCAGAAATAGCAACTGTTATTGGGGACAATGACGTTGATATTATGTTTTCTATCTTGAACTCCGATTTTTTCTGTTTCTTCCACTTCCAATTTCTATTCCTCTGTTTTTTTCTACTTTTCATTTCTCTATTTTCTTAATTCTAGTTTCCATTTATTTCTTTCCCTAGAAATTTCTATTTTCCAATTCTCCTAATTTCAATTTCTATCCTCCCATTTTCCTAGTTCAAATCTCCATTTCTCCATTTCATTTCCCCATCAATAATATAAATTTCTCATACATCTCAATTTTCCCATCTTTATCCATGTTTTTCGTAATTCCACATAATTTCTTCCCGTGCAAAGCCTAGACGGACTCCAACCACCTACTAAAATCAATCTCCGTTCTCTTTTCCCCTTTCCCGAGCGCTCTCCTCACGCAGGAACAAAAACGCCCGTGTTCCTCGTCCTGCCGGTTGACACAAATAATTAACAAAACAGGTACCAACGTGTCCGGGTGGGCCGACGTCGCGTCGCGCCGCGACGGTCGTTAAAAGCGTGTAAAGTCGCGTGCGCGGGTCAGCGGCGCGGCGTTATTTGTCGGCGCGGGCACAAAGCCCCCGCGGCCCCGTGAATTACGCGCTCGTCGCCGCGCGAATATGTAAACAGGCTCGCCGTGATGAATGATAATACGCCGCGGCCCTCGCGCCGCGAAATTTCCGTCCTCCGGCCGCGAAATTTCCGCACACGCGCGCCGAAGTCTCTCGGAGAACCGCAACGCGCGCGCCGCCGATTGCGCTGTGTATCCGAACGGCCGATAACCCGTTTAATTGCACCCACATACCAGGCGCGTTTACGTTACGAGTCGAGCGACTCTCGCGAACCATGCGTCTGACCCGAAAGTCGCGCGAGGCGGGGATCTGCGGCCGTTAAGCCGGATCCGCACTTTCCGTATGCGGCGGACGGGCGTCGAGCAACGTGCCTCGGTTACAGCCAACAGATTTCGTACGTTTTCTTCTCTTCTTCGCTGTTTTTCTTTTTACCTTCTTCTACCTCCGAGATACTGCTGATTCGAAGTTGCATTCGATGAATTTTTGAGGATGCTCGGCGTAAAATGTAGCGAGAAAAATGATGAATGGAGAAATAGGTTGATGTTGTTGGACGTATGATAAGGAGTAGTTCGAGATATTTGAGTCTCTTATGTTGGTTTTGTTTAGATTGAACGAGATGGCGATGGGAAATGCGTTTTTTCTTGTTTACGACGTTTATCCTTGCAGCTTGTTAATGTTGACGTTGACTAGATCTTTAGAATATTTTTGTGTAATAGATGGTTGTCCGAAGCGATTAAACTTTACGCGATTTCCTTTTTTGTTGTTGTTCCTGTTTTGCGGGGTGTTCAAGGTATCACTTTTTAGAGGTCTTTTTGTAGATGTAGTCTTCTGTGGCTAATTGCGATTCTTTCTGTATGTTGGATAGGAAAAGCTGAAGGAGAGATTTATTGGGGTTACGTGTAAAAGTTTCCTGATGTGTAATCCGAATTCCTTGAGAAGATTGAATCGAACCTACCTAAATCGAAGGGCTTATCTGGACGTAAAATCGAATGGAGGCACTATCAATCTCGCGGAATTATATAATACCGCTGGATCGCTTATCTTTCTTCAAATAGTTCATTATAATCTCGTAACGCGGCCATATGGAGGTTCTTATAATCCCATTAAACCATTGAAAATTAAGCCTTCTGTTGATACAGCATATCTTCGACACGGAACTACGATGATAAATAGTTTCGAAACTAATCGGGGCGAACGCTCGATGCACGTTCCGATGCCTGCACCTTCATGGTAACGATTTTCGAAGACCGTTCGAGGCGTTGTGTAACCGACTAACATACTGACTGCCGAACCAATTATCCGTTAAGATGCTAAGGAATCGAAGATGCATGTTTTATGGAACGGAGAGTGGAAAGTTATGATACACCGTAGTAATTGCTAGACTGCGAATTTTCATGCGAAATCAAATTGCAAGAATATAACTGGGGAAATAGAATGAAATGTTGTACTTTGGAATTTCAAATTTTGCAAATTTAATTTTTAAATTTCATATTTCGCACTTTCAATTTTTAGTATCTCTATTTCCTTGCGTCTTACGAATGTTGATGAAATTCCGTTGCCCCGGTGCGTAATTGTAGAGACTAATGGTTAAGTTTGAGAAAGGAAGAAATCTATAGGAAATGAGCGATTTTCACTATTTTCACTTATGAGTCATCGATAAGGAACAGAGTTTTCAGGTGCGCAGTGCTTCCTGGTTGCAGCGTAACACATTTTTCCCATTTTCGAATTCCATTTCGCGAAATCGCGACCCAACGCGCGAGCTGAATGCCGAACAACGTCCGATTTATATCCAAT